AACAGCCTTCTGCTGCCCACCACGTGGATGGAGGAGGACTCGCCATTCGGTCATCTGTGCCCTCCCTGCTGGTGCCCGCATCAGGGGCTGGTTGGTCTCCATTGAGTGGTGTATAGTCTCTTGTGTCTGGGGGCAAGGTTTTCACAAGCCCTTGAGCTTATGGTTTCTGGGTAATGATGTTTTCTTCTCACTGGGCAGGCTCTCATTCCATGGGAGGCAGGGTGCCATGTGGATTCTGTGTAGGTTTATGGTTGTTGTCTGAGGTTTTGAACCCTCACAAGTACTTTTCAGGTCACTCTAGCCTCTTGTGTTAGCATAGCACAGCAATAGTAAAGCGACAGTGCTGGGGTGATGTGGTGGCTACTCTACCCATAGCAGGACTTGCTAGTAATGACTATAATCTCAAGATTATATCATAGACTTTTAGTTATGGGGCAATAATAGGCACAAAGCAGTATCCTTTGGAGTCGCCCAATGATGTGTACTCTAAGCAACTTCCTAGCCTGGATTCACAATTTGCAAAGATTGCAGAATTATCTGGCTGCAAACATTACAATTGTCTAGGGTTTTAAAATAGAAACTGCTGAATGGTTTTGGCTTATCTTTTTCTCTCCAGGATAATTAATTTCTGGTTTGGAGCTGTGCCATAGAGTGAAGGCAGGGTGTCAGAGCTGAGGAAATCAATTCTCATCTCTATGACATCCCAAGTCTGCATGGCCCAGAGCATCTCCAACACTCTTACTAGGCTCCACTACTCTCCCCAGCCAGACTATAGTTGATTACTTACTATTTTTCTCCTTTTGCGAGTATCTACTCAGTGCAGATATTGTACTTCTTTGCTTAGTCATTTTTCTGTGCTCTCTTATAAGGTAGGTTTGTTAAGTTATTTTATTCTGTGTAAGGAATATAAATCGTGGAAGTCATTAATGGATCGCAGCACTAAAAGATTTTCCTTACCTTCTTAAGGTACATGGTCATGTTGCTGTTCATAACCCAGGTAGTGCAATGTGGATAGATAACTTACTTTAGAAAATGAATGGAAGTATGGAAGTAATACATGATGCTTGGTGAAAATCTTTAGGAATGTGCATGTGTGAGTGTGTGTGTGTGTGAGTGTGTGTGTGTGTGTGTGTGTGTGAGATTTACCACATTCTCTTCCATTGTTACATTTTAAATAAATGAAGGTTCTATCACTTTAAGTCTTTGTCTTAGTTACTTTTCTCTCATTGCTAGGACAAAATACTCAATATCCAAAATTAAGGAAGGAAAGGTTTAGGTAGCTCACAGATTTTGGAAGTTTCGGTCCATAATCAGATGGCTCCAAAGCAGGGTGGCATGGCACAAGGGCAACAGTTCAAGGTGAAAGAAAACAGCAAAAGCAACAAGAGCAAAAAGAGGGTAATGAGCCCCTTTACATTGTAAGCAGGATACCACCCCCAAGCCATGTGTAGCACTCACACTGTCTCCAGGCTCTTCTTTTGCACAGGATGAGGATGATTACAAGGTGAGGACTCTGTCCCCTGCTGCATGGCTTAAATTTCTAAACTTCTCAAGTTCACACAATAAATCCACCATTACAGCCTCTGAGTGAGAATTTTTGATTCTAAGTTATTCACCTACCTGAGAAAGATGTTGATGTTAGCATGAAATAGAGCTCTGCTCTTTCAAAGCATGGGGATTTTTCTTTGTTTGTTTCAACTGCTCAAACTAGCCTTTCTTGATTGATATGTTCTTCAAGAAATGCAGTGAATTCTACATTTCAGGAACTTCTTAGGTTGAAGCTTTAGGAAGTACCCAGAGTGGTACAATAATATAGTTAGGAACATGGCTATGAGTGAAACATCATGAGCTTGGAACAGAATTTTGCTTGGAACATGTGACTTTGGGAAGTTTACTATTATGTTGTGGGGATAATTTTCTTATAAAATATTATAATATCTGCATCATGAGATCATTATAAAATTAAATAAATTAACATTTATCAAGTGCTTGGAAAAGTGCATAGTAAGCACCCTTACTACAGGCACAAGGAAAACACAGATATAAATAGTATATGTACAGGGTTTAAAAAAGAACCTAGCAGAGTAAGCCATGTACAGATGTTCATTATTATTAATACTTAAAAACAATTACTGAAGAACAAATAGTTGTGAGATTTTCTCAGGAAAAGTCTAATAGATGGGGGTAGAGACCAGACAAAGGAGAAAATCTGTTTCAGTCTTTTCATTTAGGGTAACCAAGTCAGAAGCCACTGGGATGGGCTTTGCTTCCGGGAATATGATTGCACACGGGGGTCACTTCCCTTTCTAATCTGACAGGAAGCAGAGAACATGGAGGAATGGCAGAAACACACGAAGGCCCTTTCTTTATATCTCCATCACTCAGAGTAAAAGGAAGTAGGCCACCTGTGACTGCAGCTGAGCTCTCCTGCCAGCGAGAGATAAGTGGCTCAAGGCAATTTCACACAGCCCAGCAAAGACAGTTTCTTTGAAATCTCATGAAGAATTAACCCTGGGATTTAGCAGGATGGTTTATTCATGAGAATTATCTGAGATGCACCCTAAAAATAGAAGTTTCTAGAATCTCATGATGGTGGCAGGAGAGGGGAGCCTTGAAATATAAATTTCAAAACTTTTTTTAGTGCATTATTTTGCCTGCTTATATTTAAGAACTTCAATCTATTCTTGTAGTTCAGAATGAGTAACCCAAGTCTTACGGCCATGTTGTGGCATTTTATCCAAATTGCAGGTTGCACTTGGGCATGGTAGAATCAGTAGTTAAATTTTTCAAGTAACCACTCCCAGCCACGTTTCCTTTGTAGTTATTACTGTTTTCTTTACTCACAAAGATATTTTTGAGTTTTCTAGATTATTTGAAGGAAGGGCTATATAATTCACATATTTAAGGTGACCTAGCCTGCATTTTAATTTACTTTTTCTTAAAAGTTTAATTTGAAAATAAGCCTTTCTTTGTATTTCAACTATAAACTCTCATAACATCTAAGAAATTTATAGAATGAAAGAAGTTAAACTATTTATAAAATGTCCAGTACACAACTTTTTTGTCAGAGAACCTGAGAGAGGTAGATCTTGATAAGTAGACAGATTCTTTTCTTTCTTTTTTTCTTTTTCTTTTTCCTTTCCTTTCCTTTCCTTTCCTTTCCTTTCCTTTCCTTTCCTTTCCTTTCCTTTCCTTTCCTTTCC